CCAGGAGTTACAGACATAGTAGGTGAGGCAGACAAGTAGCCCAGCTATTGCAATGCTTTCCAACAGATTATAAGGAAGAGTTACATAATTCGAATTATGGGGACAGACAGGAGAAACATCTCTGGGCAGTAGTTTCAGGAGAAACCAGGGTAGGGGAAGGGGGATATTTGGACATCATATTTTGCTTTGCTTTTCCTATAGTCACAAAACACTTAATATTTAACCTCAGATCCACTCCTAAGCATACACTCAAGGGAAATGAAAGCTGAGACTCAACAGCATTATTCACAATTGCCAAAAAGTGGAAACAATTGAATTGTCCATTGATGGATGAGTAGATAAAAAATGACATATATATATTAAAATATGTCATTATATATAGGGTTAGGGTTAGGCATACAGCTCCTAGAGCAGAGATTAAAACACAGACCCCAGGACACGATGTTCTTTTGCCTGCCTTGTATAATAATAATAGTTCATATCACATTTTATGCCAGGTGAGATTCTAAACACTTTAGATATATTAACTCATTCAATCTTCTCAACAGCTCATGATGTAGGAACGCTTCTCATTTTAGAAACGAGGAAAGTAAAGCATAGAGAATGTGCACAATCTGCCGAGAGGATCCAGTCAGTAAGTGACAGGTCTGCTTGCTGTTTCCAGAGCACTTAACTACTACACTGTACTGCCAGATCTTAATTTTCATGTCCTACCCTCAAAGGTAGGAATTCTGTCCATCTCTAGCAGGATATATTGGGGAAAAAATACCACCTATTCTTCACCCCTCCCTTATCTGAGTCTGCTGTAATGTGACTTGGAAGCTCAGCACATCAAGAGGCAAAATCTACTTTCCTAATCCATGAAGCTGGACTGGCCTTGCAATCTGCATTGGCCAATGGAATGTGGTGGAAGGATGAGGATCTGGTTTAAAGCCAACACTTCAAAAGACCTTTTCTGCTTTGCCTTTCTGAGAATGCTGCTGCTGCCATATGATTAGGTCTAGGCTCATCTACTAGAAAATGAGAGATCATGTAGTAAGAGAGCCCAGTTGTCCAGGTTGAAGCCACCTGCATTAGTCCATTTTCACACTGCTGTAAAGAAATACCCAAGACAGGGTAATTTATAAAGGAAAGGGATTTGATTGACTCACAGTTCCACATGGCTGGGGAGGCCTAGGAAACTTACAAACATGGCAGAAGGTGAAGGGGAAGCAAGGACCTTCTTCACAAGGCAGCAGGAGAGAGAAGAAGAACAAAGGAGGAACTTCCAAACACTCATAAAACCATCACTCACTATCATGAGAACACCATGGGGGAAACCATCCCCATGATCCGATCACCTCCCTCCCTTGACATTCGGGGATTACAGGCCCCTCCCTCGACAAATAGGAATGGGGTGGGGACACAGAGCCAAACCATATCACCACCCGAGACAAGTTTACATTTAACCAACTCCCAAGTATGTAAAAGAACCCAGCCATGGTCAGCCAAACTCGGCCCAGAGGCAGGATAATTTTTAAGGCTTTTCATACATGTCAGCCAACTGCTTTCTAGAATAGTTATAAGGAAGGACAACATCATGACTGGAGGAGACAGAATAAGGTCAGTTGGCATTGCAGACTGTGGGAACAACATGGGCAAAAGAAAGCTGGAAGAGTGTGGGATATGTTCAGAGAACTATAAGCAGCCCATGTTGACTAAAAACCATTGTTCTTAAGGTGGCTAGTGGAACAAAAAAACCTGGAGAAATAAAGTAGACTGGCTTAGTAGTTTCTACCAATTTAGTAGGTGTTGAGAAGACTTTGTATGTATAACATGTTTGTTTTCTCCTCACAGTACCATGCGAGTAATGTTGTGATTTCCAATTACAGAGAAGAGGCCCAAGGTCAGGATTTGAATATAGGCAATCTGGTATCAGAGCCTGCCTTATCTACTTACTGCAAAGCCATAATGGAGAGATTAAAGGTGCAGAGAACAGCACTTTCATTGCTGTGAAAATACAATTAGTCAAGAAAGAAATTGTGAGGGCCTGACCTGAGGAAGTTTTAGTGGAGACCAACAGGAAGCAAGAACTGTGAGCAACACAGCAAGAGGAGGGGCTACAGGGCTTGGCAGTGGATTGAGTGGCCATGGTGAGAATGAGGGTAGTCACAGGGCAAGGCTAAGATGACAAGCCCAGGCAACTGCAAGAGGATGGGTGTCATCAATCATCTCATTTGCAGAACACACAAACCAGTTCAAACCAATGGATTCTGAAATGCCTGTATGGGGTGAACACGTGGAGAAGTGCAAGTGCGCTGCGTGAAGCTGGAGTGAAGGCATGAGAAACATGCTCAGGGTCATCCGCAGGGAGCTAAGTCTCCACTTCTTCATGTGTCAAATGAAGATGTTGTGCTAAACGCTCTTGGATTTTATCCAGCATTAAAAGCAGATAAAACTCCTACCAATGATGATCCACTGAGTTTTGCTTAAAACTGATTTTTGTTGGTAATCAATTATGAAGAAATGTAATCACTTGGATATTGTTTCACGCTGGACTGGATTTTCTCCTATTTGGGTTTCTACTGAAAACTGATTTTATTACTTTTGTACCTATAAGCTTCCAAAAATCTAATTTTAGTTTTTGCTTTTTTTTGAGTTTTGTTGGTAAGATTCAAAATCAAAATTTAGAAAGAAAAGAGGAAACATAGATAATATTTATTGCCCAGCTACTATGTGCCTGGCACCCTGAATACACACACACCAACACACACACACAAGTATATATTTCCTCCATAAAATATAGTCTTGTGTCAGCCAGGTGCCGTGGTTCACGCCTGTAATCCCAACACTTCAGGAGGCCGAGACGAGAGGATCACCTGAGGTGAGCAGTTCGAGAATAGCCTGGCCAACATGGCGAAACCCCATCTCTACTAAAAATACAAAAAGCAGCCGGGCGTGGTGGCGGGTACCTGTATTCCCAGCTACTCAGGAGGCTGAGGCAGGAGAATCGCTTGAACCCAGGAGGTGGAGGTTGCAGTGAGCCAAGATCGCACCATTGCACTCCAGCCTGGGCAACAAGAGCGAAACTCCACCCCAAACTATTATCTATATGTGTGTGTGTGAGTGTGTGTACATATATATACAGTCTTGTGAGAAACAGGTAAATTTAACCCCATTTTGCCAATGATGAGATAAGGCTTAGATAGGTTAAATAATTTGAACAAAGTTAAAGGTGAATTAAAGATAGAGTTGGCAAAAGAAAGTAAAATTAGCGTTATCTTTCATAGATTTCCTATACATTGGTGTTTTTATGACAACATTGACTAATAAGAGATTAAGGTAATAAATGTTCTCTTTCCCAGAACACAAGTGTTTGAGAAGATTTATGCTGCTACTCAAAACAGAAGATCTAGTTGTGTTGCTAAATGTCATGGGGGAAATGTCCCTAAACTGCAGACTGATGTAAAACAGATGTGAATTCAAATCTGAGTTCTGCCATACTGGTTTGTAGCATTTGGCAAGCTACTTAACTAACCAGAATCACAATTTTCTCAGCTGTAAAATTCAGAATAATAAAAGGCCATTTACAAGGTTATTATGAGCCCCAAGAAGAAAATAAGCATGAAAGCATCTATCCCATGCCTATAGAGTACTTAATAGATATTAGTTTCCTATTTCCTTCCAAAAACTTTTAGGTCCTGGAATTTATCTCTGATTTATGAACTTCATGCAAAGAATATCTATCATTTCCCAGTTAAACAGTCAACTTTATTGAATTTGAATTAGCAATGAATATTAATGGCTTTTACCATTAAGGTAAAACACAAAATTCATCAAGTTATTTTTTTTTTCAAATCTCTCATAAGTGTGTAACCAATAACACTGCCATGTGAAAGTTAGTTCCTATTCTGCATGGTATGAGCCCATTAAAATTTATAGGTGAAATAGGTACCATACGCTAAACATTCAGCACATGCGGGAAACTGGAAACCCATACCTGCAGCTGACTCTCACTGATGTCAACTCCCAGCTCAGTCACTACCTCTTATTCATCCATTCACGGTAGAGTAAATCTCAACTAAATGGCATACACATGAAACAAAGACTTAAATTTATAAGCAGTTCTTCCCCAGGGCAGGAGGTGAAACGGTATGTTCACAAGTAAGCAAAGAGTCTCCAGAGACCATTGTTTCTAGTTCTTTTTCCAGTGCTGATTCCTCTACTCCTTCCTCAAATGCTCTTTTTTTCCCCCATCAAAACATGTAATCCAGAAAAGCGTGTGACTAATTCATCCTCATTAAAGTGTAAATAAAGGACAAGGCTTAATGTCTCCCAGAGGTATTTATCTACACCATAATTGGGAATAAGGTCACTGGCTTAAAGGGAAAGAATGTGAATCTAGTGATGATGTTAACCATCTGCAAAGCAACAAGAAAGAACTGTTTTAGTCCTGAGAGCCTTTGCGTTGCTCCTGAAGCCAAATCAACAGGCCATCCCAGCACTTAAAGCCGGATATGGCCACCAGGTGCCCCTAAAGCTCCTTTATCCAGTCCTCTAAAGTGCTTCTTTCCTAAAGTAGGTGCTCAGGTATCACTGACTGGAGCTACGGGAGTCTCATTCTGACTGTGCCACCACAGCCACGATGGCTGCTACCAAACCACAATCATTAGCTTCTTGGGATTCTTGGCTTAAGTCCTGCGAGTTGCTAAAGAGGCCAGTTGCTAAAGAGCTCAAGCTTAGGAAGGGCCACTGGGTGAGGTGGAGACCGGCCTCCACTATCACATAGGAAACATATCCCACTGCTCAGAACAGCCAATAAATCAAATGATGACCAGCAAAGTAAATTTTGAGCACTGAAAGTAAAGCCCACCCATGGCTGAACAAGTCTCTGTGATATTTGTAACATTACCCAGTAAAATCTCTACCAAAAGACTAGAAGAGTCTTTAACAGAGAGTGTCAGTTATTCCCCCCAGGCAGGATAAGAGGCAGACTACTAAGCTTCCCTGGGGTTACTTACCTGAGATCCATATCTCCATCAACCCAGAAGGTGAAAATGTTAGAGATGGTGCCCCCCGGGCAGCAGCCCATGATGAGAACAGCAATAGCTTGGACTGGCTTCAGAGAAAAGCTGATGGCCAGGAGATAAGCTGTGAAAGGCATGAGCCCAAACTGGCAGAGCAGTCCCACAGCAATGCCCCAGGGTCTCCTGATGTGCGACCACAGCTTCCGGATCTCCACAGAGCATCCCAGAGAGAACATAAGCAGCCCCATCATCACAGTGGACACCACTGTGAAAACGAGCTCCAAGTTTCCATGCACCTCCAGTCCCACTGGCAGCTCCTCCTCTGAACTGTTGGCAGGGCAGGCTGAGCTGCTGGAACAATTGGCTTTCATGTCCTCATCTCCTTAAGGCAGCATTACAAATGAACACCGGCAACAATGGCTGGGCAGGTCTATCCTGCCACATTTTGTAATAGTGCAACGAAGTCACACGTGGAGAATCATTCCAATAACTGTTGGCCAGCAAGGTGATTCATCCTAATCTGATCAATTTTTTCACAAGTGGCATTATAAAAGTAATTATCACGGGCATGAAACACATAATAAACTGCGGTAAGTAAGGCTTTCCACTTCTGTTCTTACTCACCACTGAATATGTTTTTGAGATGAGACAAACAAACTTGTTGTCAAGTGGAGTGACCGGGCCATGTCATCAGCATCACATTGTGTCCCAGGAAAGCAGGGTGGATGCCAAGAAACAATTTCTCCAAATTCAGCTGGGATTTCAAAGAGCCAGGATGCATAGACAGAAAGGCTAACTCCGGAAAAAACAACAAAGCCACACCTCGTACCATTAGCAAAGCATGTCTGTTGGAAACATTAGAGCAAAAAAAAAAAAAACAGCCGGTGGAGGAAATGTCAGGAGGGACTATGAATAATTTCAGGAAAACTTCAGAGTTTGTCACAGTTTTTCTTCTATTTCTATTAGAATCTGTGTCTAAAGTCAATAATTAAACATCTGCAAGAATAATATGGTATTAGGCACCTAATTAGGCCTTATGAAACATGTGAAAACCAATTCCTTCACCCAAAATAATTCAAGGGAGCTGTCACTTGCTTTTGGAGATAAGAGTCTACTTGGAGATACATACTCCTGGGCCTCCTAGGGACATCTGGGAATCCTGCAAGGGGATGTGGTAACAAGCTTGGTCTGCAATGGAGATGGGGTCTGAGGACAGCCTCTGACCACAGTGTCCAGGGCCCCTCTGTGCGTTCTAAGCAGGCACTGCTGACAAAACCAGACAAGGACTGTATGGTTCTGTGAAACTAAACCTCCAAAAAAGCAGGTGCCACACCCTTTCTCACAGCAGAAAGTTTATTTGTGGGGCACAGGCTAATAACAAGGCACACTTCAGAAACGCCTCTACCTGTCTCAAGAGGGACAGGATACTAGCTAGGCATTGTTTATTCTTGGATGAGCAAATTCTTTTCCATGAGAGAATGCTCAGGACATGCTGACTGTATAAAAACACAAGTTGGATTCAAATGTGAAGTAAATTCTAACTATTTGAAAAAAGAATAAACTGCCTTTGGCAAACAAACCCTGAAAGCAGCTCTGGCCATCTAACCTCCCTGGAGGTTGCGTATAAGGGGTCAGCACGGGGCGTATTTACGCAGAGCCCTGCAGAGAATGGACACTGAGGAATGGGAAAGGTCTCTGGAAGGCAAGGTGTTCCCAGCTTGAATGATGCAGAGGTGTGGTCAGGCTGAGGAGGAAGGGAGGAGGGAGACAGCTAACATTTTCTGAGCACTTCTCAGGGGTGACAGAGGTGGTGATATGGTTTGGCTGTGTTCCCCCGCACCCAAATCTCGTCTTGAATTATAGCTACCATAATTCCCACGTGTCATGGGAGGAACCTGCTGGAAGGTCACTGAATCAAGTGGGTGGGTGTTTCCCATGCTGTTCTCATGATAGTGAGTAAGTCTCTCAAGTTCTGATGGTTTGATAAAGAAGAGTTCCCCTACACATGCTCTTGCCTTTTCTGCCACCATGTAAGACGTGTCTTGCTTCCCCTTCCCCCTCCGCCGTGATTGTGAGGCCTCCCCAGTCATGTAGAACTGTGAGTCAATTAAACCTTTTTCCCTTATAAATTACCTAGTCTTGGGTATGTCTTACTTCACAGCATAAAAACAGACTAATACAGGTGGGGTAGGTGCTTTACACATATGTGGCTATGTCTGATGAAACAGAATTTTATTTACTTATTTAGTAAGAGAAGGTGTCAGGGGTGTCTGTCTACATAATGTCCAAAAGCCCCTTAGTCAACCTTCTTTTTTTTTTTGACACGGAGTCTCACTCTGTCACCCAGGCTGGAGTGCAGTGGTGCGATCTCGGCTCACTGCAAGCTCTGCCTCCTGGGTTCACACTGTTCTCCCGCCTCAGCCTCCCAAGTAGCTGGGACTACAGGCACCCACCACCACACCCAGCTAATTGTTGGTATTTTTAGTAGAGACGGGGTTTCACCGTGTTAGCCAGGATAGTCTTGATCTCCTGACTTCACAATCCGCCCACCTCAGCCTTCCAAAGTATCAACCTTCTTTGTTCCCAGGAAGAATCACTTGAATGGCCCTTTTTAGTTATACAAATTTAAGGTTTGTATAAGCACCCCCATTCCTGATGAGGTGGTGTGACAGCAACTTTTGTGATTGCTGGGTACTCAGTGCTGATAAACGGGAGGGGGCTAAATATGCATAGCAGCCTTAAGGAGCCTCCTGGGGGAGGGAGAAAGGTGACCTTGGCCACTCCTCTTTTTCAAAAGTTAAGTGTTGGGCCAGGCAAGGGTGGGCTACGCCTGTAATCCCAGCACTTTGGGAGGCCGAGACAGGCAGATCACCTGAGTTCAGGAGTTCAAGACCAGCCTGACCAACACGGTAAAACCTCGTCTCTACTAAAAATACAAAAATTAGTCGGGTGTGGTGGCACGCGCCTGTAATCCCAGCTACTCAGGAGGCTGAGGCACAAGAATGGTTTGAACCCAGGAGGCAGAAGTTGCAGCGAACTGAGATAGTGCCACTGCTCTCCAGCCTGGGCAACAGAGCATGACTTCAAAAAAAAAAAAAAAAAAAAAAAGTGTGGTGTTATCAGAATTTCTCAGAAGAATTAGGATGTTTCCAACTGAGGTCAGCTGGTTCTAATATGCACCAGGAAAGACAGGGGTTTCTTGCCTGATGACAGGTTTCTCTGTGTCCAGTCACCCCGGACAGATGCCACAGGACACAATGACTAAGTATATGGATGTGACCTGAAGAGAAGTCATCTTGAGAGCCCAGGCTTGGACACCGCCATGTTGTGTGCGAGGACTGGACCAGAAGGGACATGGTGGCAATGGATAAAGGCCCACTGGACTGGGTGGGGCCAATCCATCAAAAGGTCCCAACAGAAACAACAGCAGTGATCCCAGGGCCTACCAGAGGGCTGGCCAGGCTTTTCCAAGTTTCTCCCCAGCTGGAGATGGGAAGGAGATTTCCTTGGGAAGAGTAAGGTTCTCGGTCAATTTGTAAAGAAGATTTCAAATACAGGATCGCAGACTTCTTGCCCTTATTGGCAAGTAGAGATTCAAATGATTAATTAGAAAATTTTAAAAAGCATGACCAACTTTACATCCCAAACCAGTGAGGCAGATCATGAGATCCCACTTAATCCTCACATTTATTCTAGGAAGTAACAAAGGCCCATTGGGGCCATATTATTTGTCCAAGATTATTAAGCAGGTAAATTATAACATTGGGATTTAAATCTCAATCTAATTCTCCACCTGTCCTTGCTTCCTTCCCTGGAGCACACTGAAGTGGAAGCAATGAAAAGCAGTCAATAGCAAGACCATGCGGAAAAGACTGGCAACCACTTAGGCATAGCTCATAGCCAAACACCACTATTTGGCTTAAGGATGGAGAAATAAACTAATCCCTAATCTCTAATATTATCTTCTATTCTCACACACTTAAAAGGCATCTACATATGTTTAATATGCACTCACCTTCATTTTGAGATCCAGTTTTACAAATCACAGGAAGTATTTCATGTACTTGCAGCCTCTGCAAGTAGAATTTGGGGTGAACGACACTCCTCAGGAAAACCAACAGAAAAGGTTAGGAATGTAAAGTCTGAGGGGAAAGTGCCAAAAGAAAAGGTAACCAGACTTGGCTGTGGAACTGTTTCCCACTCTTTGAAAGGTAGCACAGGGGAAAACTTCTAGAAGCTTGAAGGACCGAAAAATCCTACAGGTTCAGAAAGAGTTTACATAAATTCATGAGAGATAAATCTGAAACAGATATAAAGGAAATTGGCAGTAATGGAAAAAGTAGACTATCTACTCAGACAAGATACAAGGTAAAAAGCCAAATTCACTATTTTTCTTAAACTCAACAATAAAAACACTATCACTTCCCAGAAAAAAAACACAAAATACTTGAAAAAAAAGTGATCAACATCTTCTATGGTTGTAAAGTCCCTTCCAAAACTCATGTTGACATTTAATTGCCATTTTAACAGTGTTGAGAAGTGGGCCCTTTAAGAGGTAATCAGGTCATGAGGGCTCTGGATAGATCAATGCTGTTATCGAGGGGAGAATGGTTTCGTCAGAGTGGGAATGCCACATGATGCCTTCTGACATGTTATGATGCAGCAAGAAGGCCCTGGCCAGATGTGACCCTTTGGGAAGCCCATGATTTTGGGTTTCCCAGCCTCCAGAACCATGAACCAAATAAATCTCTTTTCTTTATAAATTACTTTATCCATGATACTCTGTTATAGCAGCAGAAAATAGCCAGGCGTGGTGGCTCACACCTGTAATCCCAGCACTTTAGGAGGCTGAGGCAGAAGGATCACCTGAGGTCAGGAGTTCAAGACCAGCCTGACCAACATGGTGAAACCCTATCTCCACTAAAAATACAAAAGTGAGCTGGGCATTGTGGCGGGTTTTTTTTGAGACGGAGTCTTGCCTCTGTCGCCCGGGCTGGAGTGCAGTGGCCGATCCTCAGCTCACTGCAAAGCTCTGCTCCCGGGTTTATGCCATTCCTCCTGCCTCAGCCTCCTGAGGTAGCTGGACAACCCAGGCCGCCCGCCACCCTCGCCTGGCTAGTTTTTTTGTATTTTTGTGGAGAGACGGGTTCACCGTGTTAGCCAGGATGGTCTCGATCTCTGCCCTTGTATCCGCCGTCTCGCGCTCCCAAAGTGGCTGGATTACAGGCTTGAGCCACACCTCGCCCGGTTTTTTTTTTTTTTTTGAGATGAAGTCTTGCTCTGTTGCCAGGCTGGAGGTGGACATGGGGCATGATCTCAGCTCACTGCAACTCCCGACTCCCAAGGTTCATGTGAAAATTCTCCCTGAATCAGCCTCCTGAAGTAAGCTGGAATACAGGGTA